TTACATACATATTGAAACCATGCCCCATCAGTAAATTCATTAATGAAATACTTATTATTTATATAGTTTTATTATTGCAACGTAACTGGCATAGCTCTGTGACAAGCAACATGTCACAGCAATACTTACTTTGGGTTCCGTGCATCTGGCAGTGTCCTCAAGTAGGGAATCTTGTCACTCAGAAGGATGTTGAAAGCCTCCACCTTCATGAGGGTCTCGGCCTGCTTTGCCTCTTCTCCCTGCAAAACAACTGCCACTCCATTGTCCCCCAGATGTGGGACCTTCTTAGCTTCATCTTTCCTAATTTCAGCCTCATAGTCTGCATTGTGGAAGAGTATGTTCTTTGCGAAAACAACGCCAACTTCCTCCTGTTGCTCTCTTTTCAGCTTCTGCACCCTCTGGTTAGTAATCAGCACTTCCAACTCTTCATCTGACAAATTATTTTCGAGGCGTTTGGTTGACCATATAATCAGTGTCACCGATAAGCATATAAATAAAGAAACCAACCACCTACTATAAAAAATTCGGTGACACGTCCGCTTCGGGTGCATTGCTACGTATAGGTTAATTCAACAAAGTAATACACTCAAAATTTCCTAACCTCCTGAACAGTTTGTCCCGACCTGTAACTTACCACGTAATTGTAAACATTCTCCATGATAACCACACAAACTGCACATGACATTGAAAATGTAATGCCTTAACTGTCACACCTCTTGACAACTCAGCAACATCGTGGCATTTCTTATTCTATACACACAGCCGCCATCTGCATATGTAAATAGTGCATATTACAATCTCCCAGTTTCGAATTGAAGATGCCACGGTTAGTCCATGGTGGAAATAAGTAGGGTACGGAGATGGTAGTCTGTGCGATCATAGTGTGCAGTTGTGACGTAAAACGTGATCATCATAAAATATAACAGCGAATAATGGTGAGTGAATGCAATTATATACCTTATCTGAATAAATATAAAGTTTTGTTGCGTGAATGGCTTTTACCTTGCTTCAACAGAGAATCACTACAGTGTTAATTTTTAAAATTCACAATTGAGATCAAAGGTGATGTAATAGACCGCTAAGTTGAACCTTCTGCCAACACCTCACTTACTCCCACCATGATTTCGCAGGGTGTCTCGTATCTTTAGTATACAAATGAATGGCTTCTCCCCGTCAGAGTGCAGAGTAAGCGAAATACTACCGCCGCTGCAGTGTGCTCGCCGAGTAGTCTGCATCCTGCGGTTTGGCACAGTCCTGGCCGAAGTGGGCTTCACCTGGGCGAAGCGTTCTCAACACAGTCGGTCCCGTCGCGACGCTAGGTCCAGATGAGTGGCGCGTGACATGTTACGCCCTAAGGTGACTGCTATTTATACCAAGTTTATTTTCATCGCCTTCCTGTCAGGAGGTTCGTACTACCCGCTCGCGTAGCGAGACAAGTACGGCGCCAATAGACTTTCTTGCCGCCCGTCGAATGGGACGGTTTCGTGGAGCGGATCCCGCGGGCAGGGCATGGAATGACGACCAATAGATGCGCCTTGAGGGACCAGGCCCTTACACAAAGGCGAGTCGAGGTGCAGGTGTCAAAACAGAGACCCTACGTCTGGTGGGTGTGACGTCCACGGGCAACTGTCAATGGTTTGACCCCCTGCTGCAGCTCCGTTCCTCTCCTTCAGGCGTGCTCGTAAACATTCGTCTGAAAGCACGCAACAACTCGAGAAGTTTGACACTGAGGAGTTTCAATAAAAGTTGCCAATTTTCGTTGAAATCGGTCGGTAATCACGGGTACTTCGTATGATTATTTCATCAGAAGTTAGCATTCCCGAGTTAATTTTGATCATCTTAGGCCCGACCGGACGAATTTTGGCAAATGAAACAAGTCAGGAAACGTACCTATAACGTAGCATAAATATTCTGGCGTGTTCCGTCTGTATATTCAACTAGTGAATGCGAACTGTGAGACTGCCCCTCGTAAGTTTAAGGGGCGTGGGACTTCGCCTGAGATGCAGCTAGATCGTGCGTCCTTGAGAGAATGGCGCAGTGCGCAACTGAGGGACGAAAAGGGGTGCGTCGAGGACTTTCTAACGGTTATTCCCAGAATCATAGGAGACTCGTTCATACACTGCGATTGCAGAATGTTAAAGGAGGTCGTTCACTTCGTTACAACTGAACTCTGAGGGTCACAACCACCTCAGTTTTAATATTATCCTCCCACCAATTCTAGAGTTTTTTTCCGATCAATGCTCACCGCATTACCCTAATAATATTTGAAGTAGAGTTCGAAGCGTGTAATTTTCTCCATTCCTCTCGCCTCACGCCATACCATGTTATTAATCTAATGCGCCGCTTCTCTTTCGCTGGCCTCTAATTTGTATGCAGCCGAGCTTAAAATCGCTGATGGCAGAGTAGCGGCCCAGGGGTGTCCGCTGGAAAGTGCCAGAGGTGCCACATCCGGTTTTCTGGGTCTGCCGAGAGTCGAACCCCGTCCCTGCGATGTTCGGCATTTAAGTTGCGTAGCGGAGACAGGCCTGCCGTCTGGTGGCTGTGTCAGAACACTTCACACGGGAGTCCTGTGGACTGAGACGCAGTGCTTAAGACGGCCGGAGCGTGAGGCTGAACTCCACCTAGAGCTCAGGTTAGCGTTGCTCGGCGGCATACCCACAGGCTACGTGAGATGGTGAATCCCTCTTGAGAATTTGGTACATACAACCCCCGTCCTGCACGAAAGCCGACTGGACACTAATCCCGAGCCAGCTGAATCCTTATGCGTCGCTTGTGTCGTGCCCCTTTTTCTAGTTGTTCTTCGCGCTCTAGTGTCACGTGGGCCCGTCCACGCCCGACTCCATAGGCAAGGCGCATGACCGGACGTCACTATTGCGCGCAACAAGTGTCTTGGACCACATCAGCTCAAGAACGCCCCAACGCAAATGCAAAAGTGGCTCAAATGGCGTGAGGTAGAATGCCAGTGTACTCTAAAGAGTACGTCTTTCCAGGCTAAGCCCAGATCTTCCATTGGGTGCGCCGATTAAAATTTTGTCACTGGTTCCGTGAGCCCCCGCCAGGAGCGGAGAGCTTATTTTCACCACAGATACTTAGAGCAACGAACAGCAAAGTGTCTTTACTCCATACACGGGAACACAGCAGAACCGATGAGCTCCAATGACACGAAAATAAGAACGAATACTCTTTTTTTAAAAGTGTTAGCCGGGCTCACACGGTTAACAAGGCCCTTCGTGACGACCCACAGTTGTCTGTTACCTCTCGGGCCGTCCTCGTAACAGAGAATTCCTCAGGAGCTCCTATTTCGCCTACTTAACTTTTTTGGCTAACTCTTAACCCTTTGAAGCCGAAGCTCGTCTTCATAATATTTACGAATCCAGACCGTACCGCGAAGAAAACACTTCACTTAACCATTAGAAGTCGAATCAGGCGGTACCACATACGATTTAACAAAAGAACATCCCGGTCAAAGCCTTAAGAGCGAGGCAACTAATTCCACCCTCTCAGGGCAAACGAGTTGACTCGCGCAACTCTGATCCGCGCTGACTGTACCGCCGCCTGAGCTACAATGGGTGCATTGGAGCGTAGCAGAAAACGAATTCTGATTCTTGAAAGGTAAATTGCAGTGTGAATGAGCTGCAGCTTCTTCACAGGTGGAGCGCGTGGCTGCACGCGACAGCGGCACAAGTCGCGTAGCTTCTGCGACGGAATTTTTGAGCGTCCAGGAAGAGCGCCGAGACGTAGCGAGGCGAGCGATAAGAAGGAGAAGGTGTCGAGAACGCATCAGCGCCTTCAGGGTCACTTGGAACTACGACGTAAGGGACGCTGGGAAACAAGAAGAGTTCGCATAAGTTTGTGGGGAAACACACTGTACGTGAAAGGGTTTCGAGATGACTCTGCAGTTGTTGACTGAGACACCTCTAGCGCTCAGGAGGCGGAAACTTCCGTTCGAGAGAGGTTACAACGTAAAACAACAAAGAGGAGAGAGAGAGAGAGAGAGAGAGAGAGAGAGAGAGAGAGAGACTCGCTACTGTGCAGCCGAAAAACAACGCATGACGGGAACGGACTGTCCGCGCGTCTTTGTAACCTATAGCCCGCCGCGAGCCGCCATTGGAGGTCAAGAAATAATTTGTCATCCTGTCAGGGGAGCACAACAAAAATAATAAAACTAGATGATGGGTAACAAAAAGCGGGCGGGGTAATTTTGAAAAAGATTGTCTGCTTCGCGGTATAAATAAGATCAAGTCATTAGGTGCGAAAATTGCCCTCGCTTTCCCATGGAATGTAGCCTACCATCAAAACACAGCAGCAGCGCCGTGGCTCGGTTTGTTTGTTTGTTTGTTTGTTTGTGCTGTCACTCTGTTCGTTTCGACGTCAGAGCCTGTCCTCAGCATTCGTGTGCTCATCTTTGCCACGCCGGGACTCACAGAAGCCGGGAAATGAACCCGCTTCTTCGAAGCATTTGTCAGTGGAAAAGGCGATCTTCAACTATCGAAGCGTCCAGACGTCACAGCCGACGGCCAGGAGACTCCGACGCCGCGGAATTTGTGGTAAAGCCACTGTCTCCCTCATCCCTGCTGCAACTTACCTAGCTCCCTCGTTCGATGGCGTTATATCAACTGAGCAGTTCCTCGGGAGGGCTTCGCCTAACGACCAACGCGCCTCCTGGCAGGCGAATCGATAGGCCGTGGGCCACTGTGGCTTGCACCCGGACTGGGGAGACGCAGACCGCGATGAGCTGTGTCGTCCACCTGCGCCCTGACTGCCTTCCACCACTTGCTGCGCGGACTGTACCATGTCGCCCCCCGCTGTTGCACTGTTGCAACTGTGTTGCTACACATTCACAGAAAACTGTCGTTCGGACAAGAGTGGATCCACTGTCCTCCGGAGGCGAACCTCCGGGCCCCTTTAAGGGGCGTCTCTCATGCGATTCGCGGAACAGACGCAGGACGGCAGGAACACAAAGGCGCCGGCGAAATCGACCGGTGCTGGAAATCGGCGGGGGCCGGTGCCTCTGATTTCTAACTAAGATGGCGGGCGCCCGTTGTGCCGCTGTTGCGCGCCGCGGGGCCAGCTAACGACGTATTGAGGCCGCACTCAAGAAGATGGCGGCTTGACAAATTGTTTCGGTACCACGACAGACCCCCGCGACTTCTCACGGTCCACGGAACCGCCCCTGGGGCGCATTGTTGTCCAGGGGCCCTAATTAGCGGCCCCCCTCTGCGCGAGACCACACGTACCAGCAGCGGACGCCACCCATACGCCCTCCCCTCAATACGAAACTGATCGATCCCAACGTTACTTAGCGACGTCGCACCAACTACACACGTCTTGTCTCACGTTGCAACTGGTTAAAGCAGTGACGACGGCCTATGGATGGGCAGAGAAGGTAGAACGCACAAGTCTCGGTATCTCATGCAGAGCGCCACGCAAAGAAACCTGTGCGGATTTTGCCTGGTGCGACTGAGGAAAACTCAGTCAGGGCCGAAATCCTGAATACGAAGCCGGGGCGCTAACCACTCGACCGCGAGGTTCGGTGGTGTATGGGGGAGTGGAGGTAAGACTCATCCCAGTACACGAAGCTTGCAGCATTTTCCTGTAAAGAGGCGGCTGACACGTGCGGTTGCCATGGCGACCGCCATCACTGTGACATTCGCTCGCTTTGTTTCCCGATTATTAGGTCAGGAGGAGTCCTCAACGCACCAAGACGCAGCCTCCCTTCGGCAGACCGCCGCCATCTTGGCGGTCAGCTAAGTGGCGTGCTCGATGTCACAGTGGTTTCACGCACACCGGAAACAAAGCGATCTGGCTGCGTGTATTAATTACAGGGCACACCACATGCTCGCCAACCGTAGAAAACAAACGAGCGGCAATTTATCACAGCCCACGACGCGGGGCGAGGGTGACGGCTCGAACGCTCCTCGTTGCTAGGCTACCGACTGTTGCGTAATCTGGCTTCTACAGTTTGGCAGGGATCGTTGGTAATCGGAGGAAAAATGAAAAGCTGGCGAGACGGAGCAACCATTCGGCCGGTTGCTCTGCTGTGCGAAGACGCTGGTTCGAATCCAAGCTGTTGTTGCTCGGACC